GCTTTGTGCAGTTGTGAACACTGGCCAGTTTGGGAGACATAATTTAAAGTAGTGCATCTCTGTGTCTGCATTGTGTACATACATCCAGATTCTGGAGAAAAGACACGAGAGACTTGCATTTGAAGCCAAATGAAGCCTAGCCACTTTTTCCCCTTCCTAACTGTGGATGGATTCCTAATTGACTCATCTCTTAAAAATCTCTGAAATCTGCCAGTGGCAGGTCCTGACTGTGGCTGGATCACAAATAAATCCATCACCTGTGCTGGGAAAACAACCCCCAGATTTATTGAACAGGTCAGTAGACAGAAGATCATTGTAAGGAGAATGCATCCTTCTCAAAGCCAAAATGAATCTGGAAACCAAATGGCATAAGCCAAGTATCAGACAATAATTCTCTTTACACTTCCACATGTTCTGCAGGATAAAGATTAGAAATCTGTTGTGGAAAAAATTGCTGCTTCATTCCTTTCATCCACTGAGTTCCCACTTGGCCGTTCCTTCATGGCATTGCTCATCCACAGCTCCATCTTCACCTCCTACACTTTCTTTTTGACCTGGGATTGGAAGTGTTTTGGAATTTTTGAGTAGTATGAAACTTTTTTATCTACTCACACCAGTCATAAATTTTATAAAAATTTAGGTCATATAGTTTTAGAGAACAGTGAAAATTGGTGGTTCTATAAGTTAGGCAATGGTGAAACCATATTTAAAATCAATATTAACCAAAGTTATGCCAGAATAATATCAGATAATATTTTAATATTGTGATTGAAATCAAAATTCCAGATATGGAGAGCTGTGTGAAAACAAGAGGAAAACCTACAGGAGCATAGGTATGTAGGTTAGCTAAGACTATAGAATTTAATTCATAGCACCTGAAGGAGAAAGAACAAACCCTAATCATTGCATACAATGTTGAGGTTCAAATTAAAGTTAGCATTTAAAAAGTTGTTGACTAAACAGGCTATTTTTACCAATGTATTAATTAAAAAAATAGTTTTCTGATTGCCTATCATGATTCAGACATTGTACTTAGCAGTAGGGATCAAACTGAAAAATACTCTCAATCCCTTACCCTCATGAAGTCTAATGATGGTAAGAAAAATAGTCAGTAGCATATACCTGTGTATGTATGTGTCTCTATGATGAATGTTAAGAAGGAGATAATGCTAGAAGATCCTCAGTGGGTAGGATCTACTCAAAAAACTTACCTTAGAAATTGATCCCTGACCTGAGATATGAGGAATAAGGAGCTAACTAGAAACTTCATTGGAGGAAAAAGAAAGAAAAAAGAAGGCTTCTCCTTATCAAAATAAATTTGGCAGTGTTGCTGATTTTTAAAAAGTAATCCATTGACTTAATGTCTGATAACACTAGAGTTATGGATTGTATCTAGATGTCCCCCCAAAGCCTCATGCAGTCATAGGTTGGGCTTTTCATAGGTGGCTGGATCTAAAGTGTGTGATGCTGGGAGTAAGGGTGTGTGATTAGTAAATTAGCCCACTGATTGGTTTGGCATAGTTCTGGGTGTGCATGATGGGAAGGCCTACCCTAGGTGTGAGTGCCACCTGCCCTAAGGGTGTGCAGCCTGGATAAGGGACAGAAAGAGAGCTGCTATCTCTTGCTGTTGTTTCTTTGATCTTTGCTGCTTTGCTGCCATCTGCCCATCATGAACTGTTTTTTCTCTGTGATGCCCCTCTCCCATGTGACCTTGCCTTGGAGTCAGCCAACTGGCTATGAAATGAAATCTCTACAAACTGTGAGCTACAATAAACCTTTTTCACCATTTAACTTTTGGAGTTGGGTATTTTGTCTCAGCATCAAGAAAAGTAACTAAGAGAACTGGGATGAAAAAACATTAAAGGAAGCAATACGAATGGGGCAGTGCCTTTTTAAAATGCTAGCTTCCCAGCAAAGCTTTGCTCAAGCCTCTTGCCTGGCTTTCTTTCCACGGACCACCCCTGACCCCACCCTGTTAGAATGTTGCTTTCTTCCTGTAGTTAATTAAGCATAAAAGGTAGAGAAAAGCATTCCAAAAAGAGAGAACAGTTCATGCAAAGATACTATGGCTTAGGAAAAAGCAATTTGAACAGAGCTTCATACACGGTATGAAATAATTTTGACTTAATTCTAAAAACAAACCGAGCCATGTGGAGTGTCTTAAGCAGAGAGGAGGAGGGGTAGAAATGGGGCCGACATCACCAGGTTTACATTTTGGAAAGATTATCCTATATACCATGTGGAAAACAGGTGGAGGCCATAAGATATTGAAATGTTTGATTGTGTAAGTAACCTTTCTACCAAAAATAGTACTAAAATAGAGGCTCTCTATCACATCATAGTATATGAAAGATATGACAATACTTCTCAATTCATTCCACATTTATTATGCACCAACTGTGTACTGCTTTGGGTACTGAGTGTATATGAGTAGCAAAATGGAGATCTCCGCCCTTGTAGAATTTATATAATAGACAAAAGGTAAATGTAAACAATACAGTTTGTTGTGAACTAAGTGCCAAAGAAAAGTTTTTAAAAGTGGAACAGGTAAAAGGGGAGACAGAGTGAAAAGACAGCAGATAGCTTTAAACAGAGTAACCCTGACATTTCTCTTTGAGAAAGCAGACTTGAAAGAAATGAAGGTGCCTGCCAAGGTGGTAGCACATCTGGTGTGTTTGTGGACCAGCTGGGAGACTGGTGTGCCTGAATAAGAGTTAACGCCAGGAGGAAAGCACGGAAGCCAGGAGAGGGAAGAGTGCCCCCTGCAGGCAGAGCCTTGAAGGCCACTCACTGCATGGACAGGAAGGCTCCTGTGGTTGGGGTGAGGAGTGACTGTAGGGCTTTGAGTAGAGAAGTGACAGGATCTGACTGTGTTTTTAAAAGGCTCCTTGTGCTGCTGTGTAGAGAACAGAAGTGAAATCAAGTTTTTTTCAGGTTGAAATTTCATTGACTTTTTATCAAATGTGGTTTCCTGGGAAGTGGTGGAAGATGAAAAAAAAAAGTACATAAGGGTGGTATAAAATGCCTATATAGATTCAGTAAATTGTGTATCAATGTACTTCCAACAAGTTATATTTCAATGAGGCAGATGTCAAAGAACATGACAGTGGTAGCTCTCACTTCAAAATCTATGCGTTAGGGCTAGGGGTTTAGCTTAGTGTTGCTGCCTCCTGCCTCACAAGCACAAGATCCTGAGTTTGATGCCTGGTACAAAAAAAACCCCAAAAAACAGAAAACCTGTGAGCTTAAAAAACAGAAAAGAAAATAGTGTTAGTGCAAGAGGGGTGTAAGTTTAAGTGATGGGAAGAGGAGAGAAAGGAGAGAAGGAGGAAGGAAAAAGCACGCATTCCTGAAAGGGTTTTCTCTACCAAGCAAGAGTCAAGGTGATTTCATGCACATTTGTCTTTTGGTGGCTAGCTGTGCAATTGTGGGAAAATAACATGAACTTCTAGGCTTCAGATCCCTTGACCATTTTAAAAAAAAAAAAAAGAATGCAAAATCAAGAACAACAAGAAAACATAAGCTGTTGTGGGATTCTGGAAAGCTGGCAATGGTAGCATGTGTTTTGTTGTTGGTGTTGTTTCTCCCCAAATAACTACATTAAAAAAAAAAAAGCGTGAGATAGCAAACTGCCAACAAAACTGAGTAAAAACGAACAATACAAACTTCAAAACACAAGCAGGTAAATGCAATCTGTTGACAACACAAGATGGTGTGTGTTTGGCATCTGGAGGGAGGGAGAAAGGGGAGGTAACAAGTCATTTGATGGTCCTTAAGTGACCCCAAAATGCCCAACAGATAATCCTTGAAAAGTACAACAGGCCAACTTTAGAATGACTAGTAGATTAAATAAAAATGGTGGTGTAGAGATAAGCAGCAAAATACAGCCTTTCTGGGACCAGGAATCAAGATACCTGGAAAACAAAAACTCGGTGAAGAGAAAAGAGAAGTGGATCGCCAAGAATTGGGAGGGGGTTGAGACGAAAACTAGAAACTACAAGCTAGAGAAACAGAGCACGACACAAAAAAACAAGGAGGAAATCTGGAAAGCTGACCCCAACTCTTGAGGAAGGGGACGTGTCTCCACTGACACAGAATAAGCTCAGGGAGGGTCAGCAGCTCGAGGGAGAAATAATGGACCGGGCTGGAGGAGCTAAGCAAAGAAAAGCCCACAGGTATTGTGAATTGGAAAGCGGGGGGTGGGGGGGTGGGGGGGGTGTTACTCTGAAAGTGACTCCTTCTGCAAGGCAAAGTTAGTGGTGAGGAAATTCAGAGCAGCGTGCAGCACCCACTATACTGAAGAGAACTTGATCAGGAGCCATTTGGGGAAGTTAATTCTTTAAGACTGAGTCACAGAACAACTACACCTCAGACTTTGTTGGTGTCACTTTACTACAGGGACTGTGTGAGAGCCACAAGAGACAGTCCTGTAGAGGTAGAGGGCTAGACATAGATCACCTGGAGGCTGAACAGCTCAACAGCATTTGTTAAAAGATTCACCGACTTCCCTTCCCTCTTTTCAAGATAAGGACCTGAAATTTCAATTCGGCCGACTGTTAACTGCCCATACTTTTAGGTTAGCACCAAAACCTTCCTAGGCGCGTCAGGTTAGTCTGAGGCCAGCGCTTCCGACTGCGCCTGCGCGTCGGGGCCTCTGGAGAGCTCTCGGCAACTGGGGAACGTTAGGTTGTTGTGGGAGGGGCCACGGCTTCGCGTTGGAAACCGCCTCGCGACGGAAACCGCCTCGCGACAGCCGCACTGCCTAGCTGGTTTCGGTAGTGTGGTCGTCTTTGGCGAGGCTGCTTGTCCAGCCTTCCCGGAGTAGCCCGCCGGCCTCGCAGCCGTAGCCGACGCCAAGCTCGGGGGAGGACGCCAGATACCTCAGAAGGTGCCTCGCGGCCGTCCCTGGGCCCAGGTGTGCTCAGGTGGCTGCGAGACGTCACCAGGCAGCGCTAGCGTAGGGGGCTGGGAGCCGGGAGAGAAGCCGGGAGGGGCGGGAGACGGTGGGGTGCGGGGTCCTGAGCCCCTCTGCCTCGGTGGCCCGGCAGCGCGCAGACAGGCTTTGCTCCTGCATCCGCGGCAGGGCGAGGGCCCCGCGCGTTTCCCCGTCGGGGTTCACAGCCGCGGGGCTCTGAAATGAGGAGAGGCGGTGGCTTTTTCTTCGCGGAAGGCTGCGTTGATTGAGGTGTTGCTGTCCGGCTGTTGCTGCTTTTTGGTCCCTTTCACCCATTTGACTGTCATTTGTAAGGTAATATTTGTAGGAGGTTCATAATTTTATCAAGGGCTTGTCATGAAACAGGCTGGCTTAAATATTTGCGGTATCAGTTACTCTTTTATTTTTGTTGGTCCGACTTTGCAGTATATGACTCAGTTCATCGTGGGGCGTTGGTGCAAGTACGGAACCCACCTCAGTTCTCTTCACCTCCCCTTCCCCGCCCCGCCCTTTATCTCTTGGTTCCCTTCCCGTTTGCGAAAGATCAATCTCCTTTTTGCCTTTACTCTTTAAATTGAAGTCTGTTCTTTGACTTCTGTCCAAGATCATCCCCAACTGAAAAAGATACTGTCGCCAGACCAAGTTAGCTGTGATAGCCAGAAAAAAAAATTTTTTTAATTTGGATTCAACGTTTTTAGTTGTCTCTGTTATATATTCAATAACCACTTTATTTTTACCGAAATATGCCAAAGTCATGCATATTCTTCTTGGACACAATTTCTTCATCTGAAAATGGGACGTATATTATCTTCCAAAAGATAGGAGACCAAAATGTGAAAATGGAGTTAGAGGATAAAACACGCCTATGAGGAGAAGGAACAATTTCAAGTCAATAAATTTTTATTGACTATGTTTTTCCTGGTTTGGTAGAGTTCTCATCACAGAAAAATCTCCCAAGCATTAATGGACTGCTGAAAGGGATTCAGACTGTTGTAAAATAAACTGACTTTGAAAGACAGAGAAATATATTGCCTGTCTTTTTCATTGTAAATATTTATCAGAAACTGGCAAATAGCCAAGCTTTGTCAGTAAAGTTTTTTAAAAGGAATATATATATATAATATAAATAATCGTGACAGTATTTATTTCCTCACTGAAATTTTCTCATTGATCTTTAAAATCCTTAGTTGAAATTTTTTGTGACAAAAGAAAGTAAATTCTGTTTCAGTTGTAAATTCAAGATTATATAGCAAAGTGCTTCTATTATACCATTTGCTGATTGTCATGTAATACACTTGTGTCAAAGGTAGTTTTTTCCTTAGGATTGTTTTACTGGTATGGCCCCTGAGGCATTCTGGGACTAGTAATTCTCAGCCTTTGATTGTCTTTAGAGTATAAAAGGTAAAAGCTAATCAGTCATTGTAATATTTGAAGTAAAATAATGTCAGAATCTGGAAAGGTTAAAAAATACATTTCTCATTGTTGACAAAATAAATGTTTGCATTACTAGCTTACAGGTTAGAAAAACAGCTGGCATATATTCGTACAGGCACGATGGAAAAGTCTTGTTACATGTGGCAGGGTCTTTTATTTTAATTACTGATTCTTCAGTAATAATTATATATCTATTTTTGGTACTGGGGATCGAACTCAGGACCTTTGGCTTTTGAGGCAGGCGTGGAACCACTAAGCTAAATCCCCAGCCCAGTAGTAATTATATTTATAATAATTATATTTCTTTAGCAATATTTTTACTTTTATATATTGGTTCTAACAAGATAACAGTATGTTGGCCTAATGGAGTCATTCTAGTTTTAGTTAATTCAGTGGGTTTTTTATAGTTGAGTAATCTCTATATATACATATTAGTATTTGTCTATATTTACATGAGAAATACATTATAGAGTCAGAAATACTGAGTTTCATTGTTTTGTTCTGCTACTGGTTTATACTTTGATTTGGTAAATACCAAATAGGTAGCATGTGGCACATTGTTCTAGTCGCTGGGGAAAGCTAAACAGCTACAATTCAGATCCTCAGTGAGGTACACAAACAAGTAAACAGTTGCAGTGATTTTTCTTCTTTCTTTCTTTTTTCTTCTTTTTTGCTTCCTCTTAAAACTCTAATGGTTTCCATTCATTTGAGTTAGAGCATCTACCTGTTTGACTTCACCTCTCAGCTCCTTTCCCATTCTAATATTTTAGCCTTACAGGAGTAACTACTATTTTTTTTTTCCAGATCTGGAGATTGAACCCAGGTCCTTCACACTGGGCTACATCCCCAGCCCTTTTGTTTTTTTATTTAGGGACAGGGTCTCTTGAAGCTGCCCAGGCTGGAGTTCACTTTGCAATCCTGCATTGCCTCCCAGAATGTTGGGATTGTAGGCATGCTCCACCATGCCTGTCTCCAGTAACTTCTTTTGCTTTCTTGTATATTTTAATATTTGCTTCCAGTATATCTTCTCCTCTTTGACTGGAACTTGCCCTGTTCTTCACCCAACTAACTCCTAACTTTCTGTTTTAGTTTAAATGTCACTTTTTCCAGAAAGCCTTCCTGTCCTATCCCATAGTCTAGAATAAGATAAATCTATTAGGTTCTCATGATACTTCATACCTTGTTTTCCCCTAGTCTTCCCTATCATTTGTATTTCAACACTTCTGGTTCCTGAACATCATAAGGTTAAGGTACTGTGTGTTTTCCTTTGTGTTTCTTACAGTGTCTGTGCCTGGAACATAGGTTACTAAATGAAGTTAGAAAGAGACTAGAAAGAAGTATGAGACAAACATTATAGGACTTAGGTGCTGTACTATAGAGTTGAAACTTACTGCAAACATCTTGTGGAACTATTGAACAATTTTAAGAGTGAATCACATTCATTCAGTCATTCAGTAGTTATTTGAAATCCTGCTGTGTAAAAGTCACTCAGCCAAGTCATAAAACATCCCCTTTATGGGCTGTCTATGCTATCAAGTATACAACATTTAAACACTATTATCAGAAGTAATAGGCTGATATTTATTGTATTTATAAGTATTGTATGGCATAAGGATGTGACATTTGTATCAAACCTTTTCACATAGTATAATCATGTTGCATGTATCAGTACTTCATATATAAACATTTTTGGGGGGTGAAGTCTACTTTATCTTCCCTTTAGTTGCTCTTGCTTTTCATATCATTTCAAAACCCATTGCTTAATACAAGTTTGTGAAGGCTTGTCCTTATGATTTTGTTTTTGCTCTTAAATTTATGTCTTTTATCCATTTTAAGTTAATTATTATACATATATGGTATGTGGCAATGGTACAACTTTATTCTTTTACATGTAGATATCCACTTTTCCTAGCCTCATTTATTAGAGATTGATTTTTCTCTCCATTACTAATTTAACTCTTTTTTTTTTTTTTTTTTTTGGTACCGGGGATCGAACTTGGGTCCTTGTGCTTACGCAGCAGGCGGCGAAACCACTGAGCTAAATCTCTGGCCCCCTCCATTACTAATTTAACCATCCTGGTTGAAAATTAATTGACCATAAATGTAGGAGATTTTTCCTGGACTCTCAATTTTATTCCATTGATCTATATTTCTGTCTTGTGGTAGCACCTCATTGTTTTGTTTACTGAAGCTTTGTAGTGAGTTTTGCAGTTGGGAAGTGTGAATTCTTCAATTTTGTTGTTCATTGTTTTAGCTGTTTAGGGTCCCTTGTATTTCTAAATAGATTTTAGAGTTGGCTTTTCTATTTCTAGAAAAAAGCTATTGAGGCTTTGATAGGGATGTATTAGATCTGAAGATGACTACCATCTTAATATTAATTAAGTCATTTCATTCATTTAGTTCTTACTAACTTTCAGCAATGTTTTATAGCTTTCAGTATATAATGTTACAACTATCTTTACTCGTATTTTATTCTTTTTTTTCTGGAAAAGGTAGACTTTTAATAACTGTTCTTATCACCAGGTTGTCATGCAGTTACATAGTGATTAGAAATTTCTGAAGGGGCATTGTTAAAACAAAGGTGCTCATCTTTACATGAATAATATCTAGTACTCCATTGGGACACTACAGTTCAAAGGGCCCTGGCCAAGTAATTCCCCAAACAAAATAGTCCTCTGGGCCTATCAGCCTGCTGTGAAGGGGGCAGATGCAGAATGCAGAAATTGAGGCCAGGCTGGGGCCTTGTGGTGTTCAGAGCCAGCCAGACTCCAAACACGGAGCCCAAGTGGTCTTTTCTGGAATACTCTACTTGAATTATGGTTCAGTTAGTCGACACAATAGGTCTTCAAAGGGGAGGAATGATTTATACTGTGATAAGAAGGTTACTGCATTCTTTGGACTATATGTCATAATTGTAGTTAGCAAATCTCATTGTTAACAAAAATAGCCTCCATGGCTGCAGGTATGAAGACAGCTCTCCATCAGGCTCTGTAGTTCCTGGTGGACAATACATGACCGATAAGATATAAATGATACTGCTTTATAAAAATACTTTCTTCATTTACTGTGTTTATAGGCATTCACTGCTTGATATTAGGCTTGTTAAGTGATTAAAGGCAATTTTATTACAGCAGCATGTACTTATTTTATTCTAAAAGAATAAAATGCACAAGAGGAAAAGCTTTTATTTTTCTTTGCAACTTGTAAAACTGAGTTATTTTGTTGATGTAAAATACCAGTAACTCACTCGAGGACCATGGCAACTTATGAAAATGGTACATACTACATCTTATGTGTGTCAAAGCTCTATCTCGCTTTTCCTGTTTCCAGCTGCGCGGAGTCAGTTCTTGTGTTGGAGAGACCCCAAAGTTGAAACTTTTCTTCCCATGCCTGAGGCCACCCCCAGTGGCTCTGCAGCTGTCACCATGCCACAAAATGAATATATTGAATTACACCATAAATGTTACGGGTATTGTTTGGATTACCATGAGAAAAAGAGAAAGAAGGAAAGTCCAGAGGCTCATGAACGTTCAAAGAAGGCAAAAAAAATGATTGGCCTGAAGGCTAAGCTCTACCATAAACAGTGCCATGCTGAGAAAATACAAATGAAGAAGACTATCAAGATGCATGAAAAGAGAAACACCAAACAAAAGAATGATGAAAAGACTCCTCGGGGAGCAGTACCTGCCTATCTGCTAGACAGAGAGGGACAGTCTCGGGCAAAAGTACTTTCCAACATGATTAAACAAAAAAGAAAAGAAAAGGTGGGAAAGTGGGAAGTCCCTCTGCCCAAAGTTCATGCACAGGGAGAGACAGAAAGTTATTATTGAAAGTTAACACTGAAAGTTATTCGAACTGGAAAGAGAAAAAAGAAGGCATGGAAGAGGATGGTTACTAAAGTCTGCTTTGTTGGAGATGGCTTTACAAGAAAACCACCAAAATATGAAAGGTTCATTAGGCCAATGGTCTTATGTTTCAAGAAGGCCCATGTAACACATCCCGAACTGAAAGCCACCTTTTGCCTGCTAATACTTGGTGTGAAAAAAAATCCTTCATCACCACTATATACAACTTTGGGTGTTATTACCAAAGGTACAGTGATTGAAGTGAACGTGAGTGAGATGGGCCTTGTGACACAAGGAGGCAAGGTTATTTGGGGTAAATGTGCCACGTAACCAACAATCCTGAAAATGATGGATGCATCAATGCAATCTTACTGGTTTGAAAGATGTTTCATACAATAACTTCTTACACTTATTGAAGACTACAGACCAATGAGGAAAACCACCATTACTGTGAATACTACCACAGCTTTTGTAACTGAAGTCATCAAGAGAATTATTTATTAAATTGTAAGAACATTAAAATGGCCCAGTTTTACAAATTGGTCTTTTACTTGGGGTCTTCTAAGAGCTTAGTGAGATTGAACCACTGAAAAAGTAAACATCAGTCTTATGCATTAAAGAGTGGGTATTCAACAAAAAAACAAAACAAAACCTCTATCTCCTGTGGACTTGCCTGGAGTAGCACTGCAGCATGGGGCGATTGTTTCAGCTGCCTTCCTGGTCAGCACTGGCCAGGCTGGGAGTCCCAGAGCAAGGTGACACAGCCAGGGAGGAGGGGCTTTGTAGTTCCAGACAAAATGCCTGTGTGGCTGTCTGGCATAGCTTGTGCATGATCCCTTGCCTTATCTTCCTTCCTCCTAAGTTGCTGATTCGGCCTGACTGGTTGAGAATGTGTCCATTATCTACTGAGTCATGGGAAAGATTGCCGCGGTTACATGTAAACTGTGAGAGGGCTGCAGAAGGTACAGGTGGAGGGGTATTGAAGCAGCTGGCCACTGGCATCTACATGAAGGTCACACCGGCTTCACTGTACACTTTGAAGACTTTCTCAATGGTGTTGACATCAGCAGCCGTCCTCAGGTCCAAGCCCAGGTTGTACTTCACAGCTGTGTGCATGATTCGCCTGGCAGAATGCTCCATTGTGTAGGCTAAGCCGGAGTGGACGATGTCTTTCTCCAATGCCCCCAATATCCTGTCCTGGAACTCTGCTTTTGGAACAATGGGAATTGTTCTAACATGCTTCCCAAATTTTCTTTCTAAGCCTTCTTGAACAGACATCAGCAAGTGGTAGTTAGAATCCCTTTCATATTTGAAGGTCAATTGGCCATAGCCAACATGATTTAGATTCTTCAGCCACTATAAGTAAGATACTGTCACTCCTCCAGCATTCAAGTAGAGATCTGGAATAACCATGATGTTCCTCTCCAGGAAAATCGTATCAGCTTCTGGCGTGGTGGGTCCATTGGAACCTTCAGTGATGATCTTGGCTTTGACTCTGGGTGCGTTGGATTTGGTCAACTGCTTCTCACTGGCAGCAGGGATCAGGATGTCACAGTCAGCCTCCAAGATACTTCCTTCATATACCCTTGCCTTAGGGAAGCCCAGAATTGATCCATGTTACAACTTGAAATCTTCCAGCTCTTTTGGGTCAATACCATCTGGATTATGTATACTCCCATCAGACTCCCCAACACCAATAGATTTAGCACCAAAATGATGTAAATATCTCAGAGAGTGCAGGCCCACATTACCAAAGCTCTGAACAACAAATGTTTTATCTCCAAAGCCGGGTGTCATTCCTAAAATGCTCATGTAGGAAGCTTCATTGATGAAGTTCTCAATCCCATGGAAAACCCCTCCGCCGGTCACAGAGATCCACCCATGGATGCCCCCTTGACCGATGAGCTTCCCAGTAACACAGGCGTGTGCATTAATGTCATAGTGCCCTATGGTGCTGATGTAGGTGTCCACAATCCAGGACATCTCCCGCTCACCTGTGCTCATATCCGGGCAGGCACATCAGTGCCAGGACCGATAAAACCCTTCTTTGCTAGCTCCGTAGTGAACCTTCTTGTAATCTTTTCCAATTCATTGTCTGAATAGTTCTTGGGGTTGGTCTTAACACCTGCTTTAGCTCCACCAAATGACACATCAACCACAGCACACTTGTATGTCATCAGCGAAGCCAGCGCCTTGACTTCGCCCACACTCACATCGGTACTGTACCAGATACCTCCCTTGCAGGGTGTGTGGTGCTGGCTGTGCTGGGCGCCGCAGCCCTCCATGACCTCCCAGGAGCCGTCCTTGCGCTGGATGGGGAAAGGGCCGCTCAGCAGGTAGTTGCAGGGCTTGATCATGCGCAGGCTGCCCCGCACACGGTTGCGCTTCTGCTTCTCGCTCTCGCAGGTGCGCAGGTCCTCCACAAGCTTGTTCTACATGATGTTGGAGCCACGGTGGAAGAAGCCCTCCACCATCTTGAAGAAGTTGGGGTCGTCCTCGCGCTTGGCTGCCGCATCACTGTAGTAGCGGCCGGCAGGCGTCCTGAGGGCTGGCGGTGGGACAGAGACAGGCGCCGCGGGGGCCCAGCAGCCGAACAGAGCTGCAGGCCCAGCACGGGGCAAGAGCAGCGCCTCGCCCAGGCAGCGGTACCTGGCGGCTGCAGAGGCGAGGAGGAAGCACTCGGAGACCGCTGCCTTTTTAAGCTGCACCTTCCTGCCCCCCACGACTGTCCCCTCCCCTTCACCGCTGTCACCAGGCTGGGAGGATGGACTTTGGCACATTGCGCCTCCCAGGGCGCCGGGCCTCCGCCTCCACCGGAGCCTCACCCAGCCTCCCTCATATTTTATTCTTGATACTGTCATAAACTGAATTGTTTAAATTTCCTCTTTAGATTTATCATTGCTAGCATCTGAAAATACAGGGTTTTTTTTTTAATGCTGATCTGTTTTGCAGCTTTGCCAGATTTGTTCATTAGCTCTGACAGTTATTTTGTACATTTTTAAGAATCTTTCACATAAAAAAACTATGTCCTCAGGGCTGGGGATTTAGCGCAGTGGTTTCGCCACCTGCTGCGCAAGCGCAAGGACCCAAGTTCAATACCCGGTACCAAAAAAAAAACCAACTATGTCCTCTACAGATAGAGATAATTTTACTTTTTCTTTTCTAATCTGGATGCTTTTTTCCCCCATGCCTCATTGCTCAGCTCAAATTTTTAGTGCTTTCTTGACAGAAGTGGTGAAAGTAGGCATCTTTCCCTTATTCTTAATATTGGGAAGGCTTTCATTATTTCACTGTTGAGTACAGTATTAGCTATAGATTTTTTTATACATGCAATTTACCATGTTAGGGAAGTTTTCTTCCTCATTTATTGAGTGCTTTTATTCATGAAAGGTTAAAGTGGTTTCCTACATCAGTTGCAATAATCATATACTTTCTTTATTCTGTAAATGTAGTGCATTACTTTAGTGCATCACATCTCCTTTTATGCCATGACCTGCACAGCATAGGGTCTGAAGCCTGGGAGAGCAGTGGGAGATGAAGAAAAAATGAAGAAACAAAGACTACTCTTGAAAGTTGGGAACAGGTGGAACCATAGCTTGTTGGGAGCTGGAGTCCTACACTCTCTTTATTTATAGTGGAAGGCAAACAGGAAGGGAAGGTGGGGCAAATAGTGCTACATGGCCTACATAGCCTAGGTAGAACATAGTGTGATTGTTTCATGATCCAGGCATGCTCAGGAAGGGAACAGGGAAGGATACATAATGTAACTGTCTCCTGGGGCTGTGCCATCCAGGATCTACAATATTACATTATCTGTAATCTATGGAGGAGAAATGGAGTAGGGAGGCAAAAGGGACTAGGGAGGAGGCAAAGGCCCATCTTCAGGCTTGGCCCACAGCACTTTTATTCCTTGGATAAAACCCACTGGCTGTGGTGTGTAGTCTTTTAATACACTGTTGGATTCTGTTTGCTATTAAGGATATTTGTATCTATTGGCCTGTAGCTTTTTGGGTTTTTTGGTATCTGTATTATGGTTTGGATCTAAAATGTTCCCCCTGAGGCCATACGCTAAGAAGCCTTGTTTCCCACGGATGGTCTTTTGGGAATAGATTGGATCATGAGAACACTATAAGTGGATTCCTCCATTGATATATTCATAACTTGATGATAATACTGGAAGATGATGGTAACTTAAGAGCCTTGTTGAAGGGTCATGGGATGTGACTTTGGGGCCTATATCTTCTCCTCAGCCTCTTCTTCTCTCTGCCTCACTATCTCGCCCCCCTCATCCCCAGCTGCCATGAAGTGAGCAGCATTACTTCACTACACACTCCCCACTATAATGTTCTACTTCAGCCCTGTCCCAGAAACAGTGAAGCTAAGTAACCATGGACTGAAACCTCTGAAACCGTGAGCAAAAATGAATCTTCCTCTTTAAGTTGGTTTTCTCATGTGTTTTTTACAGTGCCAGAAAGTTAATATACTTTACCTCACTTTGATATCAGGATAATAGTGGCCTCATGAACTAAATTAGAAAGTGTATCCTCTTCTCTTGTATCTTTTAAAGTAATTTGAGAAATATTGATGTTAATTCTTCTTTAAATTCCTTTGAATTCACCAGTGAAGCCATTTGATCCCAGATTTTTCCTTTTTGACAAATTTTTCATTACTGACTCAATCTCTACATTAGTTTTAATTATAGTCATTATTTTAGTTTTTAGTCAATCTTGGTAATTTATGTGTTTCTAGGCATTCATACCTTTCATCTAGGTTATATAATTTCTTGATATGTGTTATGGTTTGTATCTAGATGTCCCCTCAAAGCTTCATGCAGTCATAGGTGGGGTTTTCAGAGGTGACTGGATCTAGGGTGATGCTGGGATTAAGTGTGTGATGCTGGGATCAAGGATGCCCCACTCTGAGTGTAAGTGCTACCCACCCTGAGGATGGAGAGCCTGGATGGAATATAAGGGACAGAAAGAGGGCTGCTGACATCACTTGCTGTTGTCATTTCTTGCTGCTTACTGCTTTCTGCCTGTCCTGATTTGCCATGGACTATTTTTCCTCCTTGATGCCCCTCTGCTGTGCTACGCTGCCTTGGAACCAGCTAACTATGGCTGAAACCTCTACAAACTGTAAGCCAAAATAAACCTTTCTTCTTTTAACTTTGAGTGTTGGATATTTTGTCTCAGCAATGAGAAAAGTAACTAAAATAGTATGAAATTGTTCATACTATTCCTTCATAGTATTTTTATTTTTACAAGGCAGTATCCTTTCATTTCTGATTATAGTAATTGGAATCCTTTTCATATTCATTCCAACTAAATGTTTGCCAATTTTGTTAATCTTTTCAAAGAATCAACTATTATTTCCTTAGTTTTCCCTATTCTATTTCTTCTATCTCTATTCTTTGTTATTTTCTCTATTATCTTGGGGTTTGTCTTAATCACTTTTCCATCCCTGAGACAAAATATCCAACACATAATTTCAAGGAAGAGACATTTATTTGGCTCACAGTTTCAGTCCATGGTCAGCTGGCTTCAAGGCAGAAATGGCATGGAGGAAGGACATGTCAGAAGAAAGTGGTTCAACCCATGACAGCAGGAAGCAGAGAGAGAAGAGGGGAGCTAGGGACAAGAATATACCTTTCTGTGGGCCTGGGTTTTAGCTCTGGCACCATGCCTGTCTGGTAAGTGCAAGGTCCTGAGTTCAATTCCCAATACAGGAAGAAAAAAAGAATACACCCTTCCAGGTTGCACCTCAGTGACTCACCTCAAGCCAGGCTTCGCCTCCTAATAGCACATTCAACTACAGAACTCATCAGTGGATGAATCCACTAATCAGTATAGCATCTCCATGATCCAGTTAACTTCTACACACATGAGAATCTGGGGAAATATTTTAGATCTAAACCATAACATTCAGTATCTCACCCCTAAAAGGCACATGTCTGTTTCATTATGTAAAATGCCTTTAGTCCATCTCTAAGAGTCGCCAGTCTTAACAGTTCTAGTGTTGCTGAAAAGGTTAAATCCAACATCTTCTCTAAGATTCAAGGCAAAGTTTTAGCTGTGGTCCCCTGTAAAAATCAAAAAGAAAATTAAACACTTCCGGCATACAATGATACTAGATAAGCATTCCCATTTCAAAAGTGAGATGTAAGAGGCTATAAAGGGATGGGACTAAAGGCAGGAAAAAACCTAGGAGTACAAACATTAAATCCTATAGCTCTGTGCCTAGCACATAGGGCAAGTTGTGAAGAGATGTGAGCTCCAAAGGGCTTGGGTGTCCCTGCCCCTGTGGCACTGCCAGTTGCAGCCTCTATGACCACTTCTTGAAGTTTCTCTACTTACTGCCTGTGACTGTTCTCAGCAGATGTTCCATGTTCTTGGAATCTCCAACTTCCTGTAGTCTTCTACTACACTTTCACCTTCACTCTCAGCTTCCTATGTCATGCTCTCAAGGCTCGCTGCCTGGCCTCCCAGGCCTCCTTCTGAAATCTGGGTGGAAGCCTCCATGACCCTATAACATTTACATTCTGCATGCCTATAAAACCAGCACCATTGGATGATGTCAAGGTCAGGTGCCAGCTCAAGCAGTAGCCACAGCTCCCCTTGAGTCACTACTACAGAGGCCTCTGAGTGCCTGGATAGCTGAGCACTGTGAAATGAATCCCAGGGAACCAATTCTCCAGCCTTTCTCAAGCAGGCATTTCAGGGACTCTATTCTCAAATGAAAGCTTTACAGTTTACACCTTTGAGCCTGTGAAAAGTGGGGTCTCGCTGATTCCTCATATGCCTTCAAGCCATCATACCTGTTGTCCTGATACAAAGTACTTTGCTTCTTGGGTTAGTTACTTTTCTTTCATTGCTGAGACAAAATACCTGGCACCCAAAGTTGAAAGAGAAGGCATTTATTTGGCTTACAGTTCATAGAGGTTTCAGTCCATAATCGGCTGGCTCTGAGGCTGGGATGGCAAACAGGCATTGCCGAGGAGAAACAACATGGTGTGCCCCTACAGTAGCAAAGGCAAGAAGGGGGTTTTAACAGTATCTTTCTGCCCCTTTTATCTTTGTGTGTGTGTGTGTATGTGGTACTGGGGATTGAACTCAGGACCTTGTGCTTGCAAGGGAGGCACAGTGCCACTGAGCTAGATCCCCAGCCCCTGCCCCTGCCCTTTTTATCTTAATCAGACTACCAGGATTAGGGTGGTGCCAAACTAATCACTCACATGTGGTGGTTTAGTAATCACACACCCTTAACCCCAGTATCACACATACTAGATTCAACTACCTCTGAAAAAAAAGTTCCACCTCATCCACATGAGTCTTTGGAGGGACATCTAAACACAAACCATAACACTTCTTTTTTAAAAAAATAAAATTATTAGTGTATATTTGTGGTACATAGTGATTACATTCAGCTTGGAGTATGAATTCATAAACATGTAGAATCTTGATCATTTTTACTTACCTGCCCTCACTGCTTTCCCATTTACCTCTTTCTCCAGATTCCCTTCCAATCACTGTAGTCTATCTTCTGGTTTCTTAGCATGCATGTTTTATTTTGCTCTTTAAATTATATTTTGTGAAGGGAAAGGGAAAAAATGAGAAAAGAAGGAAGAATGGAAACAAAACTTTTGTATAAAGAGGGGAAGAGGGGTTGAAGGGAGGATAGGGGAATGGGGAAAAAAGAATAAAAATATATCATTTACAGGTACAAATTCCCTATGATGAATGTGATCATTATGTATACCTAAAATGTACCAATAAACTTAATTTAAAAAAATTATATTTTGGGTCTCTCATATTAGAGAAATCATGATATTTTACCTGTGTCTGACTTATTTTACTTAGTGTTATGATCTCAGGATCCAT